GGAGCACAACTTGACATGGACTGTACTTGATTTTCGATTTTTTGGGCACCTGAAAGCTTAGATTTCGGCTTTCAACTCAAGGTGTAATGAAGCTCGTGCAAAAGTTTTGCCGTCTTATAGAGCTTGCTTTGCTATAGTGGTGCCTTACATCTTGATCAGAACCCTAAGAAAGATTTTGTGACTTTCTTAGCACAACAAGTCACAAAATCTATGACTTGTTGTGCTAAGAAGCCGATATTGAAAAAACTTCTGAGACAGCCTAATAGATGGGCGGATTGGTGGAGTATAGTTGCATTTGTTCATGAATTCGAGCAGCGCGACTTTATAAACAAGTTGAAAGTAGACTAAGATTAATACTGGAATACTAGGAGAGGGGAGAGGCAGTTGTACCATCGACCTGTGATTCGCGACATATTGTGGATTTGTACAATAACATCCCAAAAATATGAACAATGAGATTGAGATCACCACGCATCGGTACCAAGAAGACAGGCCCCTCCATGTGTGTTTCGTAACATGTATTAGAGTAGTACTAGTAATAATGCTTACATTTAAATGTTGTCGATGTCGTCAGGGTAAATATTACACTAGACTTCATGTTTCATTCACTCGTGCTTTAGGATGTACTACGCTGGGTGGCGTCATTCGAATGGCAGCATCTAGCCTTGATGCATCCAGGTGCTTCGAATCTAATAAATCACCCCGTTGAACTAGGTAGTCTTTACGCATCTTTAAAATCTTAAATTCCCGTCGGGGCAAGTCCTTCAGACAGCTTTTTGCGCTGGGTTCTGATTCCGTTCTGATTTTCATATGCTGTCGTTTGCAAAATCGCACACAAACTTATATATTTGCTTTTCCTTGCCTTCTTTCTGTTACGTCAAAAAGAAACTTTTTGAGTGCATTTGCTATTCCTTTTCATTCCTCTACATACTTCCTTGCCTAATGGTAGGATTAGCTTATCACAATCAAGAATGGAAGTCAATGTGGAACTATGCACTATAAAACAGGACTTGCACTACTTACATTCAGGATGGAGATTTTTGGCAGATTGTACAGCGTTTTCCATTCCTTTCTCAAGTAGTCCAAATCACCAACAATAACAACGTGTTTGAGCTCATGGTAGTGGAAGTTGGAAGCTCTAAAGGGTATTATTGAGTTGATCGAATGTAGTGCACGACTGAAGCTCAGACCTCAAAGGCATGATGAAGTTTCTCAAGCCTATCAGTGGCGAATCTCGGTCAGCGAACAAGCACACGACAACGTGACCATTCAAAACCGTCATTGCTGCTTGATGTCTCTCCTGAAGGAATAAGAAATTTCGAAGATTAGTGTTTGCAAGTGTATCACTCACCAGAACACATTCGTCTAGGTTTCTCGCAGGGCACCAATGGAACATCCCGGTAGAATCGTATTTCATGTCCTGCTGTTCGAAGTCTTTCGTAAAATCAACACCTCGACCATCGGGCGGAATTGACATCGAGGTTCTTCTGCCGGAGGATGGCCTGAACAAATTTCTAGTGCTGATGACAGCCTATGCAATTGAGAAAAAAGGTAAAATTTGAAAACGAAAACGGGAGTGAAAAGTGAAAGAAAAGTGAAAGGGGTCACACTGTTCAGTGGTCAAAGCTGACTGCAGTCTGACTCTAAAGCCAACATCAGAGTCAAAGGAGTTTTGACAGCTGCAGTAGCTGGGTACTAGCCATGACAAAAAAGATTATTCAACATGCTTCTCACACCCCAAAGTGCATCAAACGACTAGATCCTAGAGTCACGCCATGCTGGTGCCTATACAACCTCCCACGCCAACTTCACGCTTGGGATTCAAATGCTTGCGTGAGCACCGCGAAACAAACGGAAAAGTGCAAGAAAAGGATGGAAACGGAAAAAGAACTGCATCAGGAGCCACGTTCTCGCATAGGTTGCAGTTTACCGTGTTTTGATGGAGGAAAAAAAGAAGATTTTGACCAAGAGCTAAGGTTGAGCATTTTGATTTTTTCTGCAATGGAAAAGTCATATTATTGTAAAAGTTGATATCTTAAGGTTGCACTCAACTTATATCTATAATAATGACGTTTAGATTCAGAGGTGCTAGTGTTCACACTACAAACTAGTCTGTATAGCAGCTGTTTTGAAAATCAACTTTGGACGACAGGTTTTTCTAGGGGGGAGGGGGGTCTGTGATAGCTATGAAAAAATGAACATTTTATAAAGGAAGACTGTTGACGATTTCGGCTTCCTCCAAGATGTGGTTGGATTGGAAAGATAACAGCTATGTTTAGCGTAAGATATAGTGCCTTTTGCATTTATGAAGCTTGAGTTAGCTCTATGTGCTTTTGTCTTGCAGCTTCACGTGCTTGTAATCAGTGCAACCTCTAGTGCATAACACCCTCGAAATGAGCTGGATCTCGATTCGTGAGGTTTGATTTCTCAGACTTCAGACTCAATATTAACTCGATGTGCTGGATCTCAATTCGTGAGATTTGATTTCTCAGACTGCAGACTCAGTATTAACTTTTGATGCTAATGAGTACAAAATGCGTCAACGCGAGAACGCGACATCGTGACGCCGGCGCGGGAAAGCATGGCACGATAAGAACATCAGTTTTACGGATATTCACATGAGTTTCTTGATCTCGTATGCGAATACCATCGATTTCGTCGATAGGTGATTATCACTGTTCGAGCTGAAAGGACAGTGTTAGAGGTCGGTGGGTGGAAGCCAAACTTTATGGAAGTACTGCATGCGTTAGCAGAGTTTCCGTGATTGTAACGTACCGAAAAGAAAGCTGGAGGGCTATTTTCGGAGTTCGTTAAGCCGTAGCTGCGCTACGCAGAATTGAAAAGCAAGCAAGCTCTCAAGCTTTTATCGACTTGCACGGCTGAGGAACTGTCCCAACAAAGAAACTATCAAAAGTCTTTATAGCCATTGCCTAAGCGACAACTCGTATGACTTATTCGTGAGCTACGAATTCAGTTTTGTTATACCTTCACTACAAAGAGCCATTCACTCTTGTGACGTCCTCCTTAAACGTTATAAGAGAACACAAGCTTCAGTTGAAAAGAGAAGTCATCCGTCGC